ACATACAGTGAAACCTCTCGGTAAGGGCCACCTGTCCTTCCATTGAAAATTGGCCCTTATGGGGGGTGGCCCTTAAATGGGGGTGACCAAAAAATAAAATGAGGAAATCAAAATTTATGTAGAAAAAAACTGTTTATTAACATTTTAAGTTTTTATACATGTTTAAAAAAATTTTCAATTGAAGTTTGTTTACTTTTTACAATTTTTTCGCAAACAATTTTAGTTTCTAATGATTCCTTAACTCTTATAAAACAAATTAGTTAAATTCGCATCATTTATTAATGCCTTGGATTGGGATATCAGTTTATTTACTTCTATTAGCGTTTCTTGGTTTGATAAATATGGCACGGGGGACTCTTGGGACGGGGGAAAAATGGCCTTTATTGGAGGCAGTCAGGAAAATGTGGCCCTCTAATGTGGCCCTCTAATGGGAGGAAAATTAACATTATGTCTATGGGAAAAATTTTCGTTCCTCAAAATATTGGACCTTAATAGAGGTGGCCCTTAAGTAGAGGTGGCCTTTAGGAGAAGTTTCACTGTATATGAAATGTCCCTTCACTGGGTAGTGTTCCTTCTCTGGTTGGTTTACCCTATAAGTAACTTAACCGTATTATTTGTATATTCAGTGTATACAGTAGGTGTATGCGTGCAAATAACTAACTGAACAGAGAGCTTAATTAAGTCATTCTCATCAAATGGAAACGTATTTTGTAACTTTATACTTTGGTGTAATTTGATGCTGTGATATGAGACATGAAAAACTAAATTCTGCTAGTTTCAAACCAAATACTACTAAGAGCATTATTCAAACCCTACATACATTTCAAAGATGGAATTAGCAACTGGGATTTGCTAATGCTTAGGAGATAATAAGTAAAGCATTCCAACAACTACCCAGGCCTAAGGGGCCATGATGAGGGACAAGCCTTTATAATTTTGCTATCAACGGCATGATTGGGACAATGTAAACAGCATTGCGCTCATGCCACCTTTAGATCTCAAAGAAGCTGGTACCCATATATTTGAAGTTGGGTGAACTTCAAGCGGCCGCTGAGGATTGAACCTTAGTCTTTCACAAAATTATAGAGATCGCTTAAAGATGCATGAAAAAGTTTACGAACTACCTTAAAACATATTTGCATGTTGATAACATGCAATTATGTTTAACTAATTGACTCAGAATAATATATTCAGTGGACAGAAGTAGCGCACTACAAGCAGTGAAACTACAGTAGTCGCTTATTTTTTTCTTAGTTTATAGTGTAGTGTACTACTATTTAAAAAAAGTAGTTTGAGTTGCGTCATATAAAGAAACAGTAGCTTGTGGCGATTCCTGGCAACTTCTTTTAACGTTAGTTTAGAAAGGAAACACGGCACTAACGCAACTAATTTTTCGAATTTGATGTGTACAAATCTTTGCAGGCCCATCAATGGATGCAATGAAAATGAGCCTGAGGCTGCAGCTGAGCGTTAACAGTAATTACTTATTTAGAATCACGCATAACTAATAGTTAAACTAACCATTACGAAAAATAGATAATGATTTACTTGACCCACTTACACATGCAAATATTCACTCGTGAAACACTAATATTATTACAAAGTGAGGGAAAGCCATTTTCGACATACTTAATTTCTTAGAGGAAATAAGAGATCATTAAGCAGTTAAAAAAATTCAAGTATATTATACTTTCGCATTTCTTGAATTAAATATTCGCTGCCGAGATAGCCATAAAAATTTGAAGGTTAAATGAATAAATTAGAAAAGAAATGTTTTCGGAATAAGCTCATGAAAACAAGAATAAATATTTCATAACTACTGCCTTACATTAAAGAGAAGTTTGTGGCCTAAAGGCAGAGAAGTAGTTACTAAATTTCAAAGTAGTTTGCAGTAACTATAACATTGAGAAAAAGTAGTTGTAGTAGTAGTAAATAACTAATAGTTGGTCTAAACTACAAGAATAATGTAGTTTTTCCGATTACCGAGAATACTTAAATATTAACATCAGAGAACTTATGGTTGCGTGTAAAAATACATGCTTTGATTTTTTTTGTATTAAAAAGTACAAAAAATATTATAACATGATGCGTTTGAAGTTTAAAGTTCTTAAAATTATTCATCACTGAATTTAGTGACAAAATTTGCTTCAAAAGAGATTTAAATTCTTTCGTAAGCATTTTTTTGTGAATTCCTTATACAGTGACCTGCGAATAAGTTCTTTGTTTATAGTTCTTT